AGGGGACCATTAGAGTTAATGGGGAAACGAACTGAAACAATGTGAAACCGAATCTCTCTCTCTCTCTCTCTCTCTCTCTCTCTCACACACACACACATACACACACACACCTCTTTATACAATCCTGCAGTAACATGCGGTCCAGGCAGAAGGGGACATAAAATGGAGGCTTCTGGACTTTTTGTAGAATGCCATAGAGTTTATGGCCAGGTGGGAACATCAGCACAGCCAGTCTGCCCATCTGTATCTCACAGGCCACCAACCCCACCCAGCATCCTCCCACTGAAGCCAACACATGAAATTAGACCAAGGATTACATCCACAGGCAGAGAACAGGAGAGACCGAGATGCACCATTGCCTGGGTGGGGGTGGGGAGCTTCCCTGCACTGGTGGGGGTTTGATTTAGTGAGACATATCCAGGTGACCCTGGCAAGCGACTGCACCACCACCACCACTGCAGAGGAAGGCCAGAAAACCCATGGTCACTGCCTGGGGGGAAATTCTTTCCCAGCCCCGCATAGGGTGAATTGGCAAGAACTGTGGGTATTATCTGGTAATATCTGTGGGTATTCGCATCGGCCAGCTGTGCAGCTGCTCTAATTCAGAGGTGCTGCGATGACTCCAGTGGAGCTGTGGCTGATTTACACCGGATGGGGATCTGGCCACAATGACTCCAATTGACTCTGGTGGATTTACACTAGCAGGGGTTACCCACTGCTACTCCAGCAATGTGCTTTCCCCAGCCTGAGCTTGGCTAATGCCCCTCAGGCTCAACCCAGACCCCCCCCCCCGCCCCCCACCCCACAGTGCCTGGCCTGTTTGAGCGATGCCCTGCCGGTTTTTCACCACTAGATCATGCTCGATGCAGACTCATCCCAGTAAAGCTCCCGGGACCTTGGAAGCTGCCAGAGGCATGTTAAAATGATCTCCATGTAGCTAGCAGCAACGCAGCCCTGGCTAGCGAACATCCGACACTCAGCGAAGAATCCCAATGGGTTGCCCTCTCTCCCCTGCTGATAGGGTCTGGGAACGGGAGACCTGGATTTGCGTTAGACAATTAGCTCCCAGGAGCGTGATGAGCAGTGTACCCAAGGGTGAAAATATCTTTCAAATACTTGGCTGACTTGGGCACTTTGCCACAGCGGAGACAATAAAGCATCTGTTCCTCATCCCGGTACCGTGAGAGTGGTGAGTGCATCTGAGCGGGGAACGGCTTTTCTTTAGGGACAGAGGGACTGCCAGAGCAGGTTAACCCAAGGTCCATCCAGCCCAGGCTCTGATCTGAGGCTCTGGTACCAGCTGTTTCATAGGACACATGGTACAAGAAACCCTAAAGAGGGCAGCTAAGAGTTCACCTGCCTTTAGTGGGTCCTTTCTCCCTAACCTCTCCCAGTTTGGGATCAGCTCATTCCCAGATCAGGGGAGGATACCACTCTTCCTGCTTTATACAAATCCCCAGATTTCATGCTGGCTGTCATCTGTGCAGGCATTCTGGATGTTGACTTTCCTGTGTGGACAAGTGTTGGAACTGGAACCGGAATCATGCAATAGACACGTGGGC